GGGGGGGGGAGAGAAACAGGATTTCTACTTTAGCACGTGACAACCAAGCCCGTGAAGTTTAATCAGAATGCAAGAGACGACGGCGTTGTTGGGATTAATCGCGGCGGAACGCGTTTTGCATCCTTGATTATTGATCTAATCTTTCCTTCGCGCGATTATGTACTTTTTAAGGAACAATCTCTTCTTCCCTTCGTTCTTCTTCGTTCCATCGTGACGAGAAAATCTTGTTCATTCGTTTTAAGAAGGAAACGTTTTCGAGGAAGATCGCCAAGGAAAATAACATCGACGCGATATTGAGAAGAGTGACTTCAAATTCGAGTGTAAATCTATAGTTCCATATATTGGACTTTATGTGGGCAGATATTATTGATAACTTTGGCTCATCCTTCAGCGTAGAATGGTGGATAGAATTCAGTGTTACAGTGTCAGTATTACTGTAGAAAATATATCAGCCAGAAGTGACAAATTTCCTTGGCTATTCTGGAACAATCACGATAATATACAGGCAAGCTCTTTTGGCTTTTAGCTTTGACCTTTTCGCATGACTTCTTAGCAACACGCCTTTTAGTGTTACGAGGCACGTGTTGAGTAACTACTAGATGTAGACCTTAATGCCTTTTGCATTGAAAAACGTTTTAAGGTCTAGGCTACGCTTGCTAAAGACATTTCCAGAGTATAATCGGGTTTATTACAGGAGGAATATCAGTTAATGAAATTGTATGAATATTTTAGTAGCTTTTAAAGATCGATCACGAGAAGAAATTACATTTTCGAATAATAAGTGGCACGTAGCCATGAATTTTTATGAGATATAATTTCGTTTCTTTTTTTAAAGCGTGCCTTTTTGTTTCTATCGAACCACTCTTCGGCAACATTTCAATGTACAAGGTATTAAAATGTTATTAAACGAAATGGAAGATTGTTTGACGCTCGTAATTAGAGTGTTCGTATTTAAATTGTTTCACTGTGTTGGGGAAATGCAACGCTATTATCATGGTACTAGTAGAATTACTACGAATTGGTCAGACGCCATTGTGCATGGTTGATTCGACAAATTGAAACGTAGAAATTAGCATCCTTTGGAAACTACTGCTTTAGAAACTATGTAGATTTAGTTATGTACAATTTCAACTAATTAATAATACATACATCGTATATGTGTTGTACATACAAGGATCATATGCATTATGTACGCGTGTACATACGAGAATCCAAGTAATTTTTTCCAATCAGTTTTAGAATATATCAAACTGGCGACGGATTTTAATAGAGAACACACGTAACCATGAATTTTTATGAGATGTAATTTTTTTTTTTCTCAAATATAGATTTTGTTCGTCAGACTTACTTTTACACTCTATTTTTGTTAATATTTTGTACATTGATTGAAGTTATTTGACGTTGATTAGGATACTCGTATTTAAATTATTTCACAGAGTTGGGAAATGTGAACGTTATCATCGCGATGCCAGTAGAATTACTACGAATTGGTCAGACGCTACGGTACACGGTTTATTGGACAAATTGAAACGTACGAATTAGTATCTTCTCGACAGAAAGCGTTTTAGAAACTACGTAGATAGAGTTGTGCAATTTCAATTAATTGACATTATATATATATATATAAAATATATATATAAAATATATAATATATATAATGTAATATATATATATATATATATATCGATGATGACAATATTGATTAATGTAACACATTATGTATTATTATCAATTCTCTTCAACTAATTTGAGAACTGCAGACGAGTTTGAATTCGATTCAGTGTCACGCAGTTGTTGTACTAATTTGATGCATTCGGATAATTGCTCTACCCATTATATATCGAGGATGACAATATTGATTAATGTAACACATTATGTATTATTATCAATTCTCTTCAACTAATTTGAGGAACTGGAGACGAGTTTGAATTCGATTTAGTGCCACGCAGTTGTTGTACTAATTTGATGCATTCGGATAATTGCTCTACCCTTTCCGAATTCTTGGTCACGATGCACCACGTATATATCCAGAAACACTCAACAGCTGTGTTATGCAAATCTAATTATAGAGGCGGTTAGATCGTTAGTGTACGGATCTGTCGCGAAATGTGATGGTTAATTCCTGGTTGTTACTGCCGAGACCACTTAAATTTCAATTATTCTAATGAACGAGGAGACCTTTCTGTTATCAATCGCGTCTGGTAGGTTGTAAATTCTCCTGATGATCAATGTTCTCATCGCCTCGAAATTATTACGCTTTTCATTAGCAAGTAATATATATTTATTTATTTGCTCGCGGGTTCGTTTATTTCCTTTTTATGATTTATTTTATAATTTTCTTTCTTTCTTCCAACGTTTACAGAATCGAATTTGGAGGTTAGTCAATCGACTAAACTTAATTAAACTTGAATTGCTCTATCCTGCGCGATTCTCTATTCCGCTATTCTTCAATGATTATATTCACATTGTCTAGTTTTCTCAAAGATCAGATCCACGCTATTCACACTTTTTCTGTCTCACACTGCTTGCTATCCGTTTTTTTCTGACTCTTGTGCCTTCAATATATTATTATATTATATTATTCAATTACTACTATTATTATTGCTACAATGTTATTTACTATCGCGCTGTTCTGATTTCGTGTCGAATCACAGCATTTTCGATGGTTTGCTCGAAATTTCGCTCATACCCGTATTAAAGCTTCCTCTCCTAATTACCTAATTACTCTTTTCAATTAAACCTAAATCACGTGGTATAAATTTGCTCTGTCTACTTTCATTGTGGTTGCTTGGCATTTCTCGCCAAGTTACGTCAAGTAACTTCAGTTACCCAACCACAGTTTTTTAAATGGCCCTGAATGTCACTAGAGCGGTCATAAAATTTCGCTAGTCGAACCGGGCGCGTGGTATATATTTTTAATCAGCCACGTCTCTTTTGCCTGCAGGTAGTCGCGCGGGGTAAGGCTAGGTAATGATCGTTGTTTTCTGAACTTGTTGCAGGTGACGTTCGAGACGCCGGTATGACGGTCGCTCGACGGGGAGGGCCCTGCAAGCGTACCACTTCTGTCGCTGTCGCCGCAGCGTTCCGCCTAGCCCCGTCGAGATTTCCCAAAAGAGGATTTGATCCACCTGTCACGCTGGTTCGTTGCGTGAGGCACGTTGCAGCGTCGTCCAAGAGGATGCGCACTGTCCGCACTGGCCTATCCAGCAGCAGCCGCAGCCTAGAGAAGTGTCGCGTTCGAGACATTTTCAAGGACACGGACGACACGACGCACAGTTTGTGCAATCTATCTGTGTGCATGTGTATGCATAATACGTGCAAATCTGTGTGTGTGTATGTGTGTGTGTATGTATGCGCGTCTGAGAGAGAGAGAGAAAGTGCGCGCTCGCAGAACCTCCGTTCGACTAGATGAACCAAAGCAAACGGACACAGCTGGTCGAGCACTAGATGGACGAAGACGCGCGACCATGATCAGACCATGTTCATATCCCGCAAGTGCTACGCCTTACACGTAACTGATCACTTACACGCAGAGCCGTGCACAGTAATAAAATACCTGAGCGAAATAGGCTTGATCGCCGTGTGTTCGCGATCGATCGTGGTGAAAGTAGTGTGCACGGTGTTCCCCGCACGACACACGAGTGACGATGGATATATATATATATATATATATATATATATACATCTGTTCTTCTTCCTCTTCTTCCACCTCATCCTTCATTTCTTCCAGTTACTCTTCTTTTACTGTTTCTACTACTCCTTGCCTTGAGAGTTCGTGGACTTCTCCATCGAGGGAACGGCGTTCGAGGAACGGAGGAGGGAGTTAACGGAGGTTCGTCGAGAAGTTAACGGAACGACTTGACCAGAAAGTCGAAAACCGGTGAAACTGGGACGAAGAGGAAAGTTTCGCGGGCCAGGTGATGAAAGGCAACGATGAGTGGGAGGAGAGGCTGGCTTGGGTAACTCGAATTACACGCTCGATCGTTGGAACATCGTATCTTTCGCTCGGAAGTCTGGAGAGGAGGCAGATTTCCAGAAGAAATCCAGAAGAAGAGAATGCGTTTTAGAGGTGCTTTTATATTCGCGTGAAAATACCGGGAGAATCTCTAGTCCTTCACGCGCGCGTTTCATTTTTCGCGGCTCTCCCCTTTTTTGTCTCCAAACCGGATCCATTTCGTCGTTCGTTTGCGCGCGAGTGACCTTCGACCGGCAACCGATGGATTACTCTCGAGAAGTAACGTTGTCGTCGTTACTG